CACACACACACACACAATGATGTAATGCTGCTGTATCACTGCTGTCACACGCACACACACAGAGGTAAACACTGCTGTCCCAGTAATGTCACTCTGCTATCTCTCCCAGTTTCACTTCCACTCTAATAAAATCTGCTTTCACACAGCTGTAAACACATATTGGATTCTGTACAGTCAGAATAAACATTGTAAATCAGGTTCTATGTGGTATCACAGTGCTAGTGTCATATAAAAGCTCCCGTTAAACTGACACACACACAAAGAATAAAGCAGTTGTGTAGAATTAAAGCTGCCTTCCAGCCGAACACGAAGCTAATTTTACAGGCGACTTGAAGGATTAATTTAGCTCCGACAGGAACAAATCTCTCGTTTTAATCACTCTGAAATATCTCAACAACTACTGGACGGACAGCTACTCAGAAAGTACTGAGATTGAGGAGTTTCTAACTGGTTATAAAATAGTCTCTATTAAATATTGATGCCTTTATATGACCTATAAGACCATCAGAGAGAAGATTGGGTATTTCTATATAGCTCAGATGCAGTCAGATTCCCCTTGAAATCAATGAAACGAGGTGGTAGAAATATTGTATTACTGGAATATTATTACTGATTTCAGTGTTAGATGGAGCGCATTTTAACTGCTTTATATACTGTTAGTTTAATCTATATCACAGTACCCAGCCAACATGTATATGTGGGCCCCCACATGGGTTATGCTGGGCTGCATGGGTACATCGGTTCACCCATGGGGCTCCTTATGTGGGTCCTTGTTAGGTCACTAATGAGAAAGAGAGCAATGGGCAGTGTAAATGAAGCCCATTTGGGTTTCTGGATGCCCAGTTGGGCCCCACCGAACACGCAGATCGCATATGGGCACCATTTTTCAGCCCATCTATTACCTGCATGGGCCCCACATACAAATGCTAGCTGGGTATCATATTTTGTAAATTGATCATATGTTTGTAAAACCTTAAAGGATCAGTGTGTAGAATTTAGTGGAACAACAGTGAAGTTGCAGACTGCAACGAACTGAACTACAGTGGCCGCAAAAACACCCTATTTAGAGCCAGTGTTTGGTTTCTTCCGTTGTCAGCTGGGACTCCCTAAAATCTTGATATTTCGACGAAGGCCAGTGCCTTACGTCCTTTATCACATGTAGTGTACTGTGCCTGATTCACATTGGGCTGCAGTGGAAACATGGCGGACTCCGTACAAGAGAACCTCTGTAGATAAAAACAGCTCTTTCTAAGGTAACAAAAACACAACAATTCTTATTTTCAGCTGATTATACGCTAATGAAAACATAGCTTTGAATATTATATTCAGTCGGGAAGCAGCACCAGATGATATCATCTGGAAGTAATTAAAGTTAATTCTGTGAGGCTGAAATTAAACTTTTGGCAGTAATCTACTTAACATCCTCCCACAATCTCTCTGCTACACTTTCATGCAGATCACAATATTACTTCTTATCTACTAAATGGTTATGGACTAGGATCTCCAGTATCTGGAGTAAGTAGCTTGTGGGGGGGAAGGTGCAAAAGTAAGTAGACAACACCTGTTATTTTAATGTATCAGATATACAATTAATTAACATTTCTTATCTCATGCTGTTAATCCCATTTTCAGGTTGTAGCAACAGGTTATAAACACCACAGTTAGCACTGAGTACTGCAGTTTTTCTGCAGGGTGAATACAAATCAGAGAGATAATTAGATTTGATGTTGGATTTGATTAAATGCCATCACACCCCAACTCATAATCATCACAAAATACTAATAATTACATTGGTACACAATGCAAATACTAATACTACTAACATTAATAATACTAAACAAGTACTAAAGCTATGCTAATGCCACTTCACAAAACTGCTCCTCCTCTTACTCCTCCTCTCAGATTCCCTCAGCAGGACTGATTTTTCAATAAAAATTCAAACTTTTAAAGCTCATCTCCTTTTATTCCCCGCATTCTCCTCCTTCCACCAGAACTCATCTCAGAACACGGCAGCCAGCAGAGTGAATATCTCCTCAGAAAGTGGAAGCTTTATTGAAATCGCAGCTTCTTTCAGCGGACTGGCAGCGAGCTGCTGAATTGAGTATCATCTCCTGAGGATTCCTGAAACGCCTGCAGTCATGTTCTCCCAGGTGAGGAGAAACCAGGATGCATTACATTTTTCAATGGTGTGGGGGGGATGGTGTGACGTTCTTCCTTCAAAGTATCATCAAATACACACTGACTGTGTCTCTAAGGACTGAAATGTGCTGCTTCAACCCAACTAAAACCATTGCACAGTGGCTCAGCAGTTAGTACCGTCGCCTTACAGGAACAAGGTCCTGGGGTTAAACCCTGACGCGCCAAGTTTTGCGTGTTCTGTCTGTGCCTGCGTGTCTTTCCTGCCACAGTCCAAAAACATGCAGGTAAGCTGAAGTGGAAACTTTAAATTGCCACTTGGTGTGAATGTGAGATGTCGGTCATGTTGTGTAGCTCTGTGACAGACTGGCAGACTGCTCAGGGTGTACCCAGCCTCTCACCTAATGCATGCTGGGATTCGCTTCACTGC